AGACCTGCTGACACAAGACAAAAGGAATTTTCACAAAAGCTCCTGAATGGGAGCTCACAATGGGACACAGGGGTGGGTTTATTTGTCTCAGATGGTTCAAATAGGCAGGTGAAATAGAGATAAAAATTACAAAGCAAGCCCTATTACAAATTAAACTTTGACTTCTAATGCTTGTTCTGTGTCAAAATGAGGTGCCATAATATTCATCCTTGTTTTTAGTCTGAGTGTTGCAGGTCCCACAGCCTGCAGTTCTGACTCTCACTAAGCCTCCTAACCAGCAAGAGAACCTTCACTTTGATGAACTGCCTAAGCCATTTTAGAAAAATAAGAGGCAGAAAAACCAGCTGTGGAATGGGCTCATTAATCTATACTCTGAATAATGCACAAAATGATGGTATGATTAGAAGACACAGAGGCTGAGAAGGGTCTTAATGAACCTAGCACTTATATAAATGGCCAACAACTAAAGCTCTCTTTTAGTCAACAGTGAAAGAAAAACAAAATCCACAAGACAAGCAAATGCTTAAATAAATATTTTGTCTGTGGGAGGCAGTAGATTTTAGCAGAAAATGTATGCATTTTGGAGAAAGATGAATATGAGTTTGAATGCCCAATCTGTTGCTTACTAGCTGTATGACTTAATTAAACCCCTTAACTTCTCAAAGTCTAAAATTCATAATTGTAAAATAAAAATAATTTAAATTATCACATAATATCATAGTGGAAACTATATGTATTAATGAATATGAAGATTCTGACATGCAATAGGTGATTAATATCTCTTTAAATGACTGAAATCTTATACTTTTAGAAGGATTTCTATGTGGAGGGTCACTGAAAATCTAATGAAAACTTTCTTATACAAATGGTAGACAAGTACAATTTACCAAACATTTTCAAAGGTTCACAGATGACTTGAAATCCACTAGTAAACCCATGCAAAGTCCATGGATCTTTGGCTTAGACATACAGTAAGAAGGTGAGGGACAGAGATAGTGTTTAGGGTGTTATAAAAATTCTTCAGACAAATCGAGGAAAAATGTTCAGAATATCTCTTATTAAAACATTCAAGAAAGCATATTTCTTTGAGTTCAGTTGTATAGAAACTAATATGTCCTTTCTGAAATGAACTACTGGAATGTAAGATCATAGCAAAAAATCAGATGCACATATTTACAACAAAACATTTTATTCTACTGTTTATAATATTAATGATATCAAAGTTATGGGTTATTGGCTTACTTTGTCAAATTTGACAACATCCCTACTTCTGAATGCACAGAAAGTATATAAAAGCAGTACTTGAGATCACAAGAGAATTTTGGGACCACAAAATTTGTCACTTGAGAAGTTTTCATTTTTGAACCCCTAAACTAATGAATGGTATTTTGTTGATTTCTTAGGGCCTATTCCCCTCTGAAAACTCTATACATTAAAAATATATTGTATTGCAGATTTCCCTTATGTAGTTAATTTAGTAATATAAAAAATATCATTAAAATAATTGTTTTTACACTAAATTAGTAAGAAAAATATTTAGGGATGTTTGCTAGGATTAAAGGCATGAGCCATGGCACTCGATCTTGTCTTGATCTTTAAATTAGCTGTGAGACCAGTCTGTATGAGGGTGCAAAATTATTTGTAGATGGGAGCTGAATATTCCTTCTGAAGGCATGCATGTGCTTTCTGGCAGGCATGGTCAGAGATAGTCAGGTGTCAAAAGCAATATAAAAATCCAAATGTATGTGTTCCACCTTTCTCCCTGCTGTAGAATATGATGTCTCCGAATATTTCAAATGGGAACTCTAATTACTGTGTCCACACTTCCTTTTGTTTTTGTTTTATTTCTGCTCCTTCAACTTTTCTACATTCTTTACCCATACATATTTAATTCTGTAAATGATGTAATATTGAATACCGCTTACACATTAGGTCTTTTGCTAAGAACCATATATTCAGATATAATTAAGAGGAAATTGCTGCTCACGAGGGATTTCCAGACTTGTATTAGAAGACCTGCAAACAGATTACCAGAGACTAGGATGGTTATTGCTTTGGTGGAAGTGGGGAAATTGCAATGTGAACTCAAGAAAGGAGCTAGATAACTCAGCTAGGGAGGGAATAGGGTGTTAGAAGTCTTCTCAATGGAAGCAAATTGTTAAATCCAGGTTTTCTCTGGAGATTTCCCTGGAAGAACTAACAAGTAGCCCATTCTCTGGAGAATTGTATTTTCTCAACTGAGTCTCGCTACCATGATTCTATACACAACTGTAATAGCAATGGCACAATAAATGCAGTAAGTGCCAAGTTGATAATAGCCTCTCCAATGACTAAGGGATAACAAATGATATAGAACTCAACCTTTGGGGGTATAGAGAGAGTTAGGGAAAGCATCCTGGAAGAGATCACATCTGAGTTAAATATTGAAGAACAGGAGTTGGCCAGATAAGAAGAAAGGGAAATTCATTCTAGAAAGACACTTGAGAGAGCTGGGCATGTTCATATCTCTTTCCTTCCAGAAAGTATGTCCAAAGTTCTGTTTCTCTTAGGGAAATATTAATTCTGATTCATTAGGTTTGCCAGAGGTCAAGAATGACTGACAAATGTCTCAAGGAAAATAGTTAGCAATTAGTTTTAAAAAATGAAGAGACATAACAGGAAACATTCAATGGGATGAGGATGATACCTTCCTTTGACAAAAGGGGAATTAAGACATGTTTCCCATGTCAACCCACGATGACAACATGAGTCTTCTATAACTCACAGTTTTCAAAAGGAATGAATGAGGTAAACCTTTTGTCCCCATGCCTAGGAACTAATTAACATTTAATAAAAATTGTTCCCTCTCTCCAGCCCTTCTCTCTCAAGAATGCTTTTTTTCAGTGAATATGGTTTGAAGATCTCATTTATATGTCTGTAAACATTCTGAAAAAAAACCTACAGTCGGCCGGGCGCGGTGGCTCACGCCTGTAATCCTAGCTCTCTGGGAGGCCGAGGCGGGCGGATCCTTTGAGTTCAGGAGTTCGAAACCAACCTGAGCAAGAGCGAGACCCCGTCTCTACTATAAATAGAAACAAATTAATTGGCCAACTAATATATATACAAAAAATTAGCCGGGCATGGTGGCGCATGCCTGTAGTCCCAGCTACTTGGGAGGCTGAGGCAGAAGGATCGCTTGAGCCCAGGAGTTTGAGGTTGCTGTGAGCTAGGCTGACGCCACGGCACTCACTCCAGCCTGGGCAACAAAGTGAGACTCTGTCTCAAAAAAAAAAAAAAAAAAACCTACAGTCTTTGTCAGAAGAAAGACATTGAGTAGGAAAGAAAAACGCTGCCTGGTGTTATATGTTAGTTTCATTCTACTCATACCCCTAAAATCTGACTCATAACAGGTAAGCAAACACATGGATTTCTTCACTCTTGCCTAACTTGCATGCACATAATGAATAAATAATGTAAAAGAGTGACTTCTGGGCTGGCTTGCTTTTTCCTTAACTCATTTCCCAGTGCCTTCCAGAATTCTAAAAAGACTCTCATTATTTTATGAAAACAAAATCATATTTAATTGAGTTTTCAAGATCGGTAAAAGCTTATCTGCTCTAAAAGTGAGACACTACTGGACACTAGTCTTATGCATTAATTTAATCCTTATTTTAGGACACACATAAAATGAAAGATCTATGATCTGGGAATCAGGAGACCTGGATTTTAACTTTGGCTCTTAGCTGGTATGGTTCCTTCTTGAGTAGAAAGCCTAGGGAACAAGAATTTAGTGCCAGTGCCAGTTAGAACCACCATTTCCAAACTCCCTGTGTGATCCTAAGTAGTTTGCCCGAATAACACAGATTTCAGGATGTAAGTGTCCAAAAAATAAGTAAGTGTGCTAAATAATCTCAAAGTGCCATTCCAGCTATGCTATGGTATGATCACTAAAACTTAATGTTTTAAAATATTTGAAAATGGATCGTACCTTAATCTTGAAAATTGATTTTAAAATCATACACAAATGTAGATAGTTGGGAGGAATTAGGAGGGGAGCCCACTCCTCTATTTTAAATTGGCACTGAAATCCTAAGTAGGAAGCAGATTTTCCACTAGAAAGAGTTAACTTGGAAGAGTTTGTGGTATGTGTGCTTCTTTTAAAAACAGATCTTTTTTATTCTCAGTGAAAAAAAAATGTATGTCCAGTCAATGGCTGTCAGCTACTGTCAGGCGATTTGTTTATGGCTCAGTGTCCCTTTTACTTTTGCAGCATTATGCGTTTTAATTAGGAGTGCTCACAAACCTAGTGCCCTCTGTTCCTGCCACATAGAAACGAATGTTAGCATGCTGCAGAAGAAGGTTGTACTAGGTGAAAAGAACCAAACATCTCAGAAAAAGGACTGATACTTATGAAATGAGTTGGAAAACAAAACAAAACAAAAAAAACCCCACCAAAACCCAGGGGATTACAATGAAAGATCCAATTTGCATTGATCCAATATAGATATCCCAATGTCAGTGGCTCAATTTCCCTATGCAATATCAACAAAAGTGACCATTGCTACCATTGAAGAGTCTTCCTGTGTGCAGCTTATAATGTATACCTGTTATCACACAGATGTGGAAATTTAGATTTAGAGAGGTAAAAATATCTCACCTAAAAAGTTGGGATTAAAACACAAGTTTCACTGTAACTTTACTTGATGACATTTACTCTTCAACAAATTGTACAGTGCATGTGCTTTTCTGGTGGCCACACCAACTACTGGAGGAGGAAGATCTCTTTAAATACAACAAGAAAAAGAAGTGAATTAAGGGAGAAAGGGAAAATGAAAGAGTGATGCAAAAAAAGATATAGAACACAGAGTAAAAACAGTTCTGCCAAAACAGGTTAAAAAATGAGACAAGGAAAATAAGAAAGAAAAGGAAGGAAGGAAGGGAGGGAGGGAGGGAGGAAAGAAGGAAGGAAGGAAGGAAGGAAGGAAGGAAGGAAGGAAGGAAGGAAGGAAGGAAGGAAGGAAGGAAGGAAAGAAGGAAGAAGAGCGAATTAGAACAGAAGGCAAAGAAAACGATTTGCAGAGGTACTGTGAGCCAAAAGGAGAGTATCAGAGATGGGATTTTTGTGTGACAAAGCAGAAGGGGAAAGAAGCAGCAAGGGGATTTGCTTGTATGCATGTTAAAATCTAACTGTTTCCCTTAAGGAGTGCGTATTAGTGTCTCTTTTGATCAGCAAGTCAATGTTTCAACTGTGTTATCACTGCCTTCCTTGTGGCTTTTAATAATCATTCTTGAAATAGAAGTGTTTTGCAGACATATTGGGAGATGTTCTTCTCACTTGACTGATTATTTAATCCACCCTGAGGCTGTCTGTCTGTCTGCAGGACAAGGTGTTCATGCAGATTGAAAGCCAGAGAAAGCCAAGAATGGGGCTGACATCGAAGAGCAAATTAACTTACATAATGGCCCTGCCAATCCATCCTCTCTTCACGTTCCCTTTTCTTGGTTTATACTAAACTTGATCAGTCTTTCTTTCGGTTTACTTTTGTTCCCACCCATCAGTTACTTATCACTGTTGCCTCAGCTTCTCTGAAGCCCTACTAAGTGCTAGGCATGAATCAGATGCATAAGGAATATAAACAGCATTTCAACCTCAGCAAAAAGGAGTCAAGTAATGTCAGGTGAAAAAGTAGCTGTGACCACAACAGCTAGGGAGTCAGGGTAGGGAGCAAATGAGAAGAATCTCCTAGGTGTTGCAGATCTGTGCTAGATTAGGTCAGAAGAGGTAATTTATTCCCCTGGAGGTGAGGAAATCAAGGCAGTTGCATGAAGGACGTGAACTGGCAGGATGTCTAATGATGAGATTGGTACAATCAGCCCTTTCAAGCCAAGGGAAACACATGAGCTGACTTGGCAAAGGAACTTAATATAATCGTCCAATTCTGAATGATTTTTAGTGGCTGTCTTAAGTACTGCCCTGAGATAAATCTTAAAAATGTGTCCATGCTCAGTCATGATCAATTAGAAGTGTCTGCCATGGTTACAGCACTGCAGGGGTATCTGTGTTAACTGCCACATTCAAAGAATTCAAAAAAATCGAGAGAGCCAAAGCACCAAGTTTGGAGTGGATGGAGAGAATGTTTTATGCAGGGGGTATAAGAGATTGGTTAGTGAAGGGAATGTGGGGGCAGATTAAAAAGGCTGCGCATGTCAGGCTGAGGAAATTACACACTACGAGGAAATTATTCACTCATATTTGTTACTCACTACATTATGTCTGAAAATCTAGTGGGCCAACTTTGTTTGACTTAAGCTCATAGGTATCCCTGCCATACAATTTAGATACTGTCAGATACTTATCATTTTCCAAGTGTTAACAATCCTTCAAGACATTCAATTTTCCCTAATGCATATTGCCTTGTGTGCAGTTTGCACTTAGTTAAAATTATGCGTGTTCCCTGCTTTCACAGACCTGTTAGTGGGCGTGATAAGACAGACATCACATATCTAGAATATACTGCAGTGTGCTTTCAGTGCAGCAGTCATAGTAGAGAGATGGTGGAGGGCCAGAGATTGCAAAGACTTCTCACAAGAGCTGCCTTGTCAGCATGCTGAATCTTGAAGGTCAGACAAGTTGTTCATATGCATAAACTGCAAGGGAAAGTAAACAAGAATCTCTGGCTAAAGAGATGAGCAATTATAATGGAGAAAGGAAAGAGCAGTGGGTACCACTGTGTGCCTGTGTGACAATTCCTGTGGTCACATGATACAGAGAAACTTGTACACTTGGAATTTCATACAGAATCCACTGATGCCTCTGACTCCAGTCACCATGGTTCATTTGGTAAACAGGTGCGAGCCATTTGCTGAGCACTGAAGAAGGATCTGTTAAAACATACTAAAGATAATAATAATTCATAAAATTCAGGGTGCCTGTTCTGGAGCTACTAACACTATAATTGGCGGAGAGATAGCAAATCCAAAATGTACAGTCAAATAAAAAGCATGTTTTTATAATGCTTTAGCTTGGTTTGGGCCCTCTAATTCTCTTGCCTGCCTGAACTATTGCAGTATACTATAATAGTTATATTGCAGTATAATGTAACGGTTAAATCTCTGAAGCTGTCCTGTGTGATCATGGACAAGTAAATTATACTTCTGATCTGTAAAGTTTTAAGAACAATAAAAATACCTGCATCATCATAGGGTATTCTTATAGTAAGTATGAGGTACCTATTTATGAGTAGTCAATGAGTTAAAGCACTGAGAACAGTGTTATGTTTGTTGTTTTGTTAGTATTGCAATTACTTCTTAAGTGGTATCCTTGCCTTCCATTGCCTCTTACACGATCTATACTTTACTCTACTTCTAGGGCTATAATTTCTAACGGCTGTCATGGAGGTGATATATACATACTTACTGGATATTTATCCAACATGAGAGAGGATTAGTAGATTTATGTCCAGGTTTCTCAGCCTGCAAGATAAGGCCCCTATGATCTGACCAAATTTAATTTTCTTGTACATGATCCACCATGCTTCTTATACTCTCACATGTATCATATACTCCAGCCACACCCAACTACACATGAGATAAGTTAAGTGACTCCCATGATTAGAAGGTTGCAAGATTATTCAGAGAGGTTAAATGACATTTCCAAGGATGTTCTCTGACTCCTGAGCCTTCACCATTTCCATCAATCCACTATGCTGCACTTGAGAGTTGTCATTGTATGAAGATCATGTGTTCACATTGTCTGTGTCTGCCACTTGACTGAGGTTTTGAGGGCATCTTGTCTCATTCATCTCTGAATTCTCTGCACCTGGTATTAAGTAGGGAACAACAGGAGATTTAATGCATGATTGATGAAACAGGGTAGTCAGGTAGACGTATTCATACATGCACTTATTTATGTATTAATTAGACACTGACTTCTAGTGGGTTGCTCAAACAAACTAAATACTATTTATTACTGCTGAGCACTCACATAATGCCTTTGCTTTTTTTTTTTTTTTTTTAATGAGAAACGCTCATGGTGAAATTTTCAAAGAGATTGGCAAGCCAGACAAGGATGTCTGCCGATGAAGGAGATTTTGGCCCCCACACATAAAATGTGGCCCCTACAGTCTCGCTTGATTTGTAATACCATTATGGAACATGATAGATACAACGTGTCTTGGTTCATTTTCTGTTGCTACAAAGGAATATTGGAGGTTGGATAATTTATAAAAAATTAAAAATAAAAGGCTTACGTGGGTCACAGTTCTGATGGCTAGAAAGTTCAATACATGGGCATCTGTATCTGGCAGCTTCAGCTGCCTCCACTCATGGCAGAAGGTACAGAGGAGCCAGTGTGGTGTGTGGAGAGATCACATGGTGACAGAGCAAGCGAGAGAGGTTGGGGAGGTGCCAGGCCCTTTTTAACAACCAGCTGTAGCAGGATCTAATAAAGGCAGGAGAATTCACCCCTTAGGGAGGGCATTAATCTTTTTATGAGAACTCCATTGCCATGACCTAAACACCTCTCACTAGGCCCTACCTCCAACACTGGGGATCAGATTTTAACATGAGGTTTGGTGGGGATAAACATCTAAACCAAAGCACAATGTTAGACTCAAAGTTTCAGAGAAAATGGGAAGATCTCTTGACTCTTGGTTCTTGTTTTTGAACTCTCACGTTGACGTAAATGACTCTCTGTGTATATGTGTGTGTGTGTGTGTGTGTGTGTAGTTAACACAGGTTTGCCATATATATTTCATACTGCTAGATTTTTACTATAACCCAATGGGAGAGGTGAGACAAGGGTTATTTCTTCCAAATTACTGATGAAAAGCCAAAGGTCCAGGAAGGTTAAATACAGTCTTTTACTGAGGGGTAGAGGGGTTGGTGACTGCAGAAAAAGAGACAGAAAGAGGTTAAAGCTCTGTATAGATATCAAAGTGACATTGACAAAAGACTGCTATGATAAATTAGCATTCCCATCTTGACTGACTCAATTGGCAGGAACAAATTCACACGGCAGGTAGAAAAGAGAATGGGAAAGGTCCTGTTACAAGTTGTCAAGCGGTAACTACTAGAAACTCATTTCTAAAAAGGAAACAAATCAAAACTACAAAAGAGCAATACTATTTTTCTTTTTAAAGGTTCCCCCAGTAAGTGACAGAACCCAGAACATGTCCCAGATTTATGACTCCAAACTCATAAATTCCCAAATGTGTTTCAGGATTGTGTACTTCACATGTGGCATTGATAAGAGATGTGAATGGTTTGCAATTGTGAATATCCCCACAAGAGTGCCCAAGTGCCTGGCCACACCACACAAAACCAAGGATCAAAAAGTGACCAGGCAGGCCAGGCACAGTGACTCATGTCTGTGATCCTAGCACTCTGGGAGGCCGAGGGGGGAAGATTTCTCGAGTTCAGGAGTTTGAGACGAGCCCGAGCAATAGCAAGACCCTGTCTCTGCAAAAAATAGAAAGAAATTAGCTGGATAACTAAAAATATATGTAGAAAAAAGTAGCTGCCATGGTGGTGCTTGCCTGTAATCCCAGCTACTCGGGAGGCTAAGGCAGAAGGAATGCTTAAACCCAGGAGTTGGAGGTTGCTGTGAGCTAGGCTGACACCAAAGCACTCTAGCCAGGACAACAGAGAGAGATTCTGTCTCCAAAAAAAAAAAAAAAAAGGGGGGGGGGGGTCCAGACAGTGCTTACCATTAATTTTCTCTTTCTCTCATCTCTCTCTCCTTCTCTGTCTCTTTTTCTCTCTCCCTTTTTCTTCAGTTTTCCTTTCAAAGAGTGTTTTCGTTTTTCTTACTCAGTAGAGTGTTGGTAATTCAAACAGAAGAAAAACATAAATGAGACTTCAGTATTAAGTCCTGGGAGTTTAAGTGATTTATATTCTCTTTCTTCAGCAATATTTGCTATAAAGCTACTGAAGGTAATATTTAGAGGAAGTGGATATTTTGCCACAAAATCACCTCCTAATCCTCAGAGCATTTCCTTGGTATCCATCAGCAGTTCATAAAGACTTTAACACTTTATGAGCAATATGTTGACTTCCCCTTGCAATGGCAAGGAAAAAAAAATAAAAATAAACTTTCATTGAAGAGGACAACAATGTCTTCCCAAATGAAATTGGGTGATAAACCAAATAAAATAGTCACAGAAATTGGAAGTAGGTTTTAGTTTGTTTTCACATACTCTGCTCCAAATCTGTACACTGTGAAGATATATTTGATTTATTTCATTCAGGCTTCTCTGGAAAAAAAAAGAAACTAGAGTGGGATTTTCATCAACCTATGTTCAGGATGCTAACTGAAGATGACGATTGTAGTTTGCAAATATTAGTGGGGGGGGCAGGCAGGGAGAAATACAATAAAATAATACTGCTTGTACCTGAAGACTAAAAGCATTGCTGCAATGTCCACTGGAATGGGTTATAGTATTCCAGTTCTTTATGACTCCAGACCCAACATTCATATTTTAAGAGTTGATTGTATAGGAAATTAAAGTAGAGATATCTGGAATATGTGATGTTGAATAAAAACTTTAAGTTCAGTGATATTACTTTATTTTTTTAACCTGACATTGTGAGCATATGCAATACTACTTTAAATGTGTATACCTCCAAGTTGTAGGGAACAATTTACTTGATAACAGTATTTTGAAAGGATGTTGACTTAATATGTTTTTTTCCTCACCATGTTACAGTCATTTATATACTTCTGTATCATTTTTTTGGTATGTACACTATCTGCATTAAATAATATTTTAATCAACCCACTTGTTTAAAAATGTAATATAAAAAACTATTTTGAAAGGGAACTTTATATCCATACCTAAAACTAAGAAAATTAATTTTACTTGCCATAAATACAAGGTAAACTTAGAAATGGATTGAATGAATGCAAAGCAATGTTCTTACATTCTAATAAGGCATGTGGACTCAGCTAAAACCTCTGAGCCCTAGGCCAACATTTTGCTTGTTAGAGAGATGGGCACTGGCAGGGAACTGAATTGTTCTCTCTTGATGAAATTTTAGAGGATCGAAAGGAAATTGGAAAGTGATTAACTTTCCTACCCATAAATTTTCACTTCTGTGTCCCATCAGAAATCACTATGGGGGCTCACTACCTATAGCATGACAAATGCCTGGGTCTTCTAACAAGTTTGAGCGGGACTAGAACCATGGGTAGACATCCTGCACTTGACACCTGTGAGATGTGGGATTTACAGAAGTCAATATCCCTTTGTGAGTCTTACATTCCTCATCTGAAAAACGGTGATAATAAGATCTACATCTCCAAACAACTATGTAGGATAAATGGAATAGCATTCTGAAATTCCAACATACAGTAGTTGCTCAATTAATTCTAGTTACCACCAACCCTCAATACATTTTGTCTTTTCATTCTATCTATTCTACAAATGTGAAGACTCCGTCCATCCCAAGCCCTTGTCCTCACCCTTTGAGTCTCCTTCCTTTACAACCAAATCTCATCTTGTGTAATTTTGCTACCCTCCATTTTGCTAGAAGCTTCTGAGGCTTTTGTATTTCTGAGGAAATTACATCCAATATTCTGGCATACTCTCCAAGTATATCGGCCTGTCTGTTCTATTGAGAACATCACTGGCAAAATAAAAAAAGAAATAGATAATAGAAATAGATCAATCAATAGATAGGTGTAAAACTAGTAATAATATACTAAAATCGAGGTTAATTACCTCTGGGTAGGGGTAAGTGGAAAGACTTTGAGAGCAAAAAGATTTCATTCAGAAATGAGACTTTGAAATCGTATCATTTGGGTGTAAAATCATGGGGAAAAAATAAGTTCTTTTTAAGACAAAAACAACTTTAAAATCCTATTAGGCTTTTTAAAAAAGTCTTCTTGAACATCAAATATCCTTTGCAAAACACTTCATTGATTTAAGTGTAAATTAATCAGGAATGCATGGATCTCATTTCCCTTAAAATACACATGGATTTTTACATCCAGATGCAAAATGCCTTTCCTGTTTTCCATCACTTCAAAATCTGAAAGGGTGCTTTAGATGCTCAAAACTGACTCAGAAGTGTTAAGTCTTGCCCTTGATCCTTGCAGAGCATGAGAAGTGCTAACTTTGGCATAAGATTTCTTTGGTCCTTCATATGAATACGAAAGGAATGTGCTTTCTTAGAATTTATAACAGAAAAGAAGTAATTAATAAGCAACATGACCTTGGTAATCTTTCTAGGGCATAGCATGACATTGCAGAAAAAGCCAATGTGTTCAAAGATCTCAGATGTGTTTTTCAGTTTCAACTTTGACTAGTTGTTTTCTGGTTTCCTATTCTGAAAAACTGGGGGGACAGGACAGGACTTATTTATCTTGAAGCTTGAGGTGGGATAGATAGAAGATGATGAATCAATGAAAATGTATTGAACATCTCTTCTGTGCCACTGAGGATTCAAAGATAAATGAACAAAATACTTCTCTCAGGTCTTAAAGAAAAATTCCTAGCTTTAGAGGAAGAAAGCAGTCTGGGAATCTATTTAGCATTCTCTTTTGGGGATGGGGGTGACATGTGTGAGAGTCTAAGGGTGGCAGAGACAGTATACTCTGCCCGAGGGATCACTTACTTCGCAAATGGGAAATTGCTTTGTAAACACTCAGGTACTAAATGATGAGGCACTAAGAAGCAGATGGATTCTCATTAATTCTGGGTGTCATTACAATTATTATTGCTACTCATATTACTATTACACAAATCACCATTTAGGGTCTGAATTGTTTCCCTGTGTTCACTCTTAATTGTGTCAGTCTGTTATCTTCACTGTTCTATTTCTGTTGTAGAAGATTGAGTCTCCTGGTTTGGTTTCTTTTCGCTTTGTTTTGCCATCCTCTTTTCTCTCTCTTTCTTTTCCAGTGAAATCTGTTATTCTCATTGAGCTCCTCACACCAATCTGCTGGGCCATCTGATTTTTCTAACTCCAAATCTGGGTCTATTTCTAGCTAACTGCTGACAATAATACCATAGTTTTCCTTATAGCAGTCATATTCATTTGTTCATTATCTTAAATAATCTAATTTCTGAACATCGATTATGTATCAGGCTTTGGGCTAGATTTGGGATACACAGATATATAGATAACAGAGATTTTGCTTTCAAGGAGCTTGAAATCAATCTAGTGACGATGGCAGACAAACATAAACTGACAGGACAGTGTGTTAGGAATCATGCTAGAGATGTATGCAAGAAGTGGCAGGAGTATATAAGTGGGGAAGTGGGCCTATAAATGGAGACTTGAGAATATAAATCATGGCTATGATCCACGTGGAAAGATAAGATGGCCACTATTCATAGACAGGTAGCCTAAGAGAGGAAAAATTAATTTCTCTATGCTCAGGATCTGTTCAACAAGTTCATCCCAATTGTATCCCCAGAGCATGGACCCAAGCCTAGTGGCAATTCCAAGGAGAGGAGATGGTTAGAGGAGGGTGAAGCCCCTCTTTAATCACCAATAGTACCGTAACAATGCATTTCCAAATAGACATGCAAACACGACTGCTAGTGTCATTTATTATCACTTTCTATTCTAGAAAAGTGATTATATGCCTTCTGTAATTTAGGGGGACTAAACAACTGAGTGAAAAATAAGGTGTTCCCTGCTCAGACACAATGAGATAGTGTGGGGAAAGAAAGCCAGAATACCATAATGTAAAATAGAAGAATGAGTAAAAATTCACTAAGCTCCTTAATTTGGGCAAGTGAGATACTTTTGTTTTTCTCTATTTTTGATGAATTCAGGAGTCAGTCTTACATATACCTGGGTTTGAAATGAGTTATTGTTTCTGTTTGGGTTTCTTACCAGAAGAGACCAGAGCAAGTTTCAGGGTACATCAGAACATAGGAAAGCAAGATTTTTTTTTTCTTAGATTGTTGTCTTCCTTTGATGCCCTAATAATCTTCACTCTAAAAATCTGCAGCACACAAGATCTGCTTGGAAGGAGGCTTTGGGGCTACATTAGTCAGCAAGACTCCAGGGTACAGAAATAATTCAACCAAGACAAGACATATTATTAGATTGAACAGAGACCAGGTGAAGGAAGCAAATATCATCTTACCAGAAAATGAAAGTAGATCTTCTTTAGGAAGCATTAATTTGTATCACAGTACCTGAACTATGTTTTGTTTCGCTCAGTCTCCTAACTTCATATCTTGAAGAATATTCAGGTTGTTGGTGTAATGCTTTTTCTTTGAACCAAAGCTGCAGGGGCAAATGACATCCCTACATCTTTTAAAAGACCAATGGCTTGGCAACTGGTCTTGTTTTTTTTCTATAACCTTAGGCTCAGAAGTCAAAAGCTTTACCAGAGTCTTTTCCTATAAAATGAAGAGGTTGAACTAGATGATCTCTAAGGGCCCTTTTAGCTCTAAAAGCTTGTAACTCTATAAAGCCAAGGTAATAATACATCTTCTCACCTCACAAGATTATTGCAAGTATCCAAGGATTACATGAGAGAGCTGATGTGCTTGGAAATATATAAAGGGCTACCCAAATCTAAATAGTAATAGCAGAAGTGTGATTTAACCTTGGACTTCAGTACTAGGAGTTAAATAAGACTTTAGATGGCATTTAGTTTCATTATTCCCAAACGATCTCCAAAATAGGGCTTGTTATGCTGAATTGGATCACCTTTGTTGCTTTTTGGAGAATTTGATTTAATTGGTGAGCCATAGAATCTAGGATATTTTTTTTAATTTTTTTTTATATTTCTATTAATATTTTCTCTTTTTTATTTTTTTCTTTCTTTTTACACCCCCAAATCATGGCTTGTTGAATCTAGGATCTATATTTACAAAACCACATGCAATTAAGGATTTGGGTTCTGTCTGTGAACACAAAATGTTTAGTTTCTCTTTCATTGCAATTTATGAATCACTTGTACAATGAGGTATTACACTGATTAGAAGTAGATTATCATAGTCACTAGCATTTTAATATTGAAAGGTTGTAGTAGATAACATTTGACATTGGAAAACTTGGGTTTAAGTTCCACTCTTTAATGTATTAACAGTGTAACCTTGAACCAATCACTTATCTTCTCTGAGCGCCATTTTTCTCATACTTTAAAGAACACAAACAATAGCTATCATTCATAATGCCTTAATAATTGAAGAGATTCTGTATGTGAAGACACTAATGGAGTATATTATAATACGTTAGCTTGCCTTCCTCTTTACTTGCCCTTTAAAATATTGTGGCTATGAAAATATTGATAAAACACAATGCTGCATAATAATCATATGATTAGTAAAGCAATCAATCTCCAAGTTTGTATAACAGGTGTCTAGATATCTTACCACCTGAACAGATGCCAATGCATAAGTTTGTTTACAGGTATCTTCTCCTCTCTCAGAGACTAAGAGTGTAGTGGGTGGCGTTTGGGTGAGTAAAATTACCTTCTGTTATTGTTAGTTCGTTTTAAAGTTTAGGGATATATGCCCAAATGTATGTCTTGCAGAAATTTTGCCTTACTATTTAGCTATATTTATTCATACACAGACATGTTTGCATAAACAAGTACATTTTTCTTCTGCAAATATTCTTTCCTATTTCCTACTATTCCAAGTCTCTTAAGCAAATCCACTATTTACAATAGAGCTGTTTTAATGACATGTTTATGAAAATACAGATCCTAATCACAGTTTCCCTATGGACTACCAAAGAGAATTTGAAACCCTGTTAGTAGTTGCAAGATGAAAGGGGGGATTTAACTGTATATCAAATTGTATCTGAGGAACTGAAATTGTTTTATCAACCTCAGTTAGGTCTCAAACCACTCCCCTGAGGAAGGAAAGACATATTATGTACTTTTATGGAGACACGGCTTAAAACCCATGGTGAGGTTAATCACTTTGCATCAAAAGCCTTATAGCTTAGTCGTGGTGGAGTTAGGAACAAAACAGAATTTCTTCCTAGGGAGCAACTTACCTTCTTTTATTTGCCTGATTACTAGAGTGTATGAAACTTCTGGAAAATTATGACAAATGTTCAAAGGAAACCCCTGAGAAAGAATTAGCATTTGTTTCCCAGTTTAGTAAATGAGCGATTTGTTTTTCACGCGAATGCAACAGCACCTTTTTTTTGTTGTTGTTTTGCCAAACACTTGGGTGGAAATGACCCCTTTGAGGAAGGAGAAAAGAAGAGCAGAGCAATTCAGGAATTAGGATAGCAATTGGTAGAGTATTTCTTTTTCTTTCTTCTTGTCTCCTCCTTGTACATAGCAACCTGCGCAGATATTGCACGCTAGAGGGCACTTGAGGTAGAAGAAAAAAAGCCTCTACATCCACGCTAACGGGACCAGTTTCCCAGGCAGGCAGGAGAAGGCAACCTGAAAGCAAGTGCCCCGATTTCCACATGGCAGGCAGCCTCTTTAATAAAAGAACAAACAAACAAACAAAAAATCCTTAGCATTATGAGGCTTGGCTAATAAAAGCAGCCTGTTCACATTCTCAGTAATGTAATTTCCTTTCAATTTCTTGCAGTATTTGTTGACTGCATATGTATGTGGTCTCTCTAATAACCAACTTGATAACAACTAATCAGAACTATGAACTCCATTTTATGCATAATAAAAGAACTGTTTTGCCTTTCCCTCAATACATCTGTATTCCCCTAAACATCTGTAATGATACATTAGTATAAGTGTGCAAATTTCAGAAAATGTTAATGGAAACCAGACTTAAATTCAAGTAAATTTAATTATTATGTCTTAATATTATTAAATACAATCTGTTATACCAAGTTGTAGTATGGGGAAGGGGGTCCCTCCTTTTCTTTTTGTTCTTCTTTTCCTATATCTTTTTTTCTTGTTTTCCTTCTTTTTAGAACACAACATGAACTATTTTTAATCTCTTTCCTCTTCTTGCCTCCAAAGTTAAATAACAGTGGTCTAGAATCTTAATCTAGTTGTTGTCATCTTTCAGGAAAAGAAAGAAAACAAAAATAAAAACTAAAATGCTAACTGTGTAGCCCACAAAACCTGGGCTGGCTTATTTCATATCTTTGTACCAGTCCTCTTAAATCCATCTACCCACCCCCCAGACCCCCAGTTTGGGTTTAGAAGCTGAATTGGAGCTTATCTCTTTTCTAGCACCTGGGAAGATGGGAGATAATGCCATTTTGAAAACCTTTTCCAAAATGCTCTCAGCACAGATGTGGTTTTCAGAAAGTGTTTACACCTCCATTTACTGAAAATATAATGGCAAGCTCAAGATTAGTAATTACAGTCAATATTCAGAGATACAGGCCTAATTTCAGGGACAGCTAAAACCAGCAGCCAAGAAACGTAGAGCATCACAACTCTGAATAGTAAGCTCAATGATGATTTTATTCCAAGAATACATAACCACTTATAAAAAAATCAGTTTAGTTTTTCAAATCCCATAGTAATCATTGGTGAAATAATCAAATGATAAAGTTAGTGTTCTTACACATTTTTCCTTTTTTATTTTATTTTTAAGATGGTATTTTATCTTAAAATAGAATATTCCAGGAAAAAAAACAATAAATATTAATAATACACTAGTTTTTTCCCTTCTTATCTTTATATACATAACATGAGAACGGAATTGCCAAATGCAGTGATTTCTCAAACTTTAGTGAGCAACAGAATCCCCTGGGGGCATTTGTTAAAACCCATATTTCTGATATATACTCAGATTCAGGGCCCAACAATTTGCATTTATAACAAATCCCCAGAGGATGCTGAGGCAGAAACTGGTCCAGGCATTGCAGGTTGAGAACCACTGGCCTAAATAAACTCCTGTAATCATTCACATTCATTTAATGTGAGCACCATCACAAATATTCAAGATTTTAGTAAGAGAACAGTTTAAAACAAACTCATAGACTTAAAAGAAAAGCTATCCTAAATTTATTTAAACATTTACAAACTTCTCAAAATTGCTTTCCTAATTTTCTTTTATTCTTATGACTTATTCTTCAATATTGGAATTTAAAATAAAATTTAAGTTTCTGATGCCTACTGCCAGAGTAGTTATATATTACTTACCTTCTCCCCACAACTCATAATAAAGGACATGGTTTCACATATCTTCATCCTAATGAAATGGGGAAAAGGACTCTGCATTCCTGGAAAACATTACATGTTAATTGGCGTGGCATGTATGTTTTAGCCTTCTTCATATTTCAGATTCTTGAGGTTTTATTTTAAATGATAATAACCCTGGCAGGTATTACATTGTAAAATTCCTTTACCCATGGGATCCGCACTCCTCAACTCCATCTTAAGGAGATATTCCATGAATCCATTAATTCATCTAAATTTAAAAGCAACCCAATAACCCTAAAAGTTATCAGATACCACAGTCAATGCATTTTTTGTTTTGTTTACAGTTTGTTCTAGTTTTAATTGTGTACTGGAGGATGGAAATTAGAAAAGACTGTATTTTAATGCAGCAAATAACAGATATGTTTCATTCTGCCATTTCCTATTTCAACTAGGGAAGTTGAAGACTTTCTAGCACTCACTCCCTCTTCCAGGTCTCTGTTTCCTATAGGTTAGTTTACTCCTCACTCTGCAACTAACTGGCCACTGGTTCACTGTCTCCTTTTGTCAAAATTAGGACAAAGGTTCTAGCCATAGTAACAAAAGAAATGTGTCTTTTACTACATGGAGACTCTCTCCATCTCATTCACTCTCAACCTCAGTAGACTCCTCTGCAAAACTGTCTGCCTGTCACCAAGAGCCAGGCTGGAGACATTCTGCCTCATCCCAATTTTGGCACCAGTCAGCCAAGGTCATACTGAATGCAATCTTTCCTCTCTGCCCCCAACTCCTTCTCAAATTATACTTTACTGCTCTATCAGATAATTCCTCACCCTTCCTCCCCCGAAATGCTCCACAACACATGCAATTTCAGTTGCCATTCACAAAAGCCTATGGAGCACATTCCTTTTCCTGCTGGAAGTCTGTAACCCTGAAGATGATGTCAAAAATAAAACAATTTCTTGAGGGGGTAGGCTCTCACCATTGTGAACATTACACTGCATCATAGTAAGAGTGGGGGGAATTGTTAAAGAGACAAATAACCTTGTCTTTCAGCATCCCTGATTATCTTAGAAATATCCTTACAGGGCTTTTTAACATCCTAATCCTCTTTCACACTGCTTAATCATCCTGACCTCTCCTAAGAATTAGTCAGGAAATTTCCTGCTGCAATGCTTTGAGCGGAGATTAACAGGTACACATAGGGTTAAATTCAGTGAAGGCAATGTATGGAACTGCTTTAAGAGTAAATATGGATAAAGTGAGTCAAAATAAATTCATCCAAACTCAAGGCATCATTGGATTATGATTCTCTTTACTTTGCCATCACAGTTTGTTTTTTTTCCTTTATTTCAGAAAATGAGATTTGAGGATGCTGTCTCTCTAACATTCTGGCTTGCTTTTGAGATGCATTTCTTACGTGTGACAATCCCCAGCTTTCAGTAGCACATGACCTTTGCTTTAGTTCTCTCATAGATGTAAGAAGATACCCCAAGGAAAGGTTCAAACTATCTATTCAAAGTGAAAATGAATGTCTGAAAATTAAGTACAACCCAAAATGTGATCTATTTCTTTGTCCACTTGGGACTGTCTGGTCTAGCAGCAGTTATAATTTGATTGCGGCTTGACTGCTTGCTGTTCCTTTTTCCAAGACAGAATTAGCCAATCCCAATACCCTGTAAGCAGACACAGTCTGGGAAGAGAACAAACAGTTACTTAGTGGCTGCCTGTGGGGCAGGGGAAAGACCTCCTGGTTCTCTTCACCTCCCCCTTTCTCAAACAATTCACAAAGTTTCTTACTCATGACAGTTCAAATGTGAAATAAACCGATATTAGACCTACAGTCAATATTCTTTTGAACATTTCACAATAGGATACTAGATATAGTGCAAAAAAAAATTGTCAAATTTGCATGAGTATTATAAGCATATTGTGCCTATTTTCTCATTCTGTTCACTCTGTCTCATTAATTTGAGTCAGACAGTACAATCTCTACAGACCGCGTGTCTGGTCCTCTGCACTTTTTTCCCCTTCTGTTTCGGCTCTGTACCCAGATGGTAAAATCCACTCTCAGAGCTCAGATCTAGTGCACGCAGGGAATGGACTAAATCGGGGTCTCCTGTGGAGGGTAGTTTGAAAAAACAAAGGTAAGGATTAGTTTGTCTTATATTTCACTAATTTTATTAAAAGGCGATCACAGCAGCTGAATATTTCTACATGTTAGCCTCAGAGATGAAAATAAAAGAAATCTGGACCTCCTGATTCACGATGCCTCCTTCTTATACTGGCTCTACCCCAGGGTGGCCATTTCTCAAGATCTGAGCGCAGTCTATCAGAGGGCTTGAAGGGACCACAGACAGGGCATCTTTTGGTGGAGGCAGGAGAACTGCAAGTGTGGTACCTGACAGGAGATCCGGAGATCAGAGCACATCCAAAAGACCTAGCAATTCCTCCCCTTATTTCTCATGCAAGTTCTGCTTCCACACACCCACTTACTGCGCACCCCTCCTCGTTGTTCCTCATTCCATCTCCCCAAAGGATCACTAGGACATAAGGAATGCGCTCGCTCTATCATGGGACCAAGACACACAGCCTCTAAATCGTAGCGTCTGAGTACTGTGCAAAGGGTCTTGCAACCACCCTATTCTGTGCGCCAAGAGGCCCTCGGCATAAAAAGGAGACGAGCTGCACAGCGCACCCCTTTGCCCTGACGCGTCCTCCTCCTCCCGCGGAAAACAGCTGTGGGCCACTGAGACGCTTTTCAAGATAACGCCAACACCAGGGCTCAGGTGAGACCTGAAGAGAGAACACTCGCGGGTACCTCCTCCGCAGCCTGCTAGATCATCTGCCAGCTCTCTTATCCAAGGAGCTTGGCCCTCCGCTAGCTGCGCGCACAGCACGGAAGGGCGCATCTTCACCCAGTGGCTCCGGCGGCGGAGACGCGCGGGGCGTGCTCGGGAGCGAGGAGCAAAAAGTTGTGCGCCCACTTGGTAAGGGGAAAGAGAGCGAACCGGCGAGCGCGCGACAGCGAAGGGGAAAGGCGGGGAGGGGGCGGGGTGGGGGACTGCTTACATGAATTTCCAAGTGGTAGACCTGCCTCTGCGCTCTGCCCAATGAGATCCATCAGGGGAGGCACCCGGCTCACTTTTCCACATCACTTCACAGTTACATTTGGCAGGCAGGCGGGCTCGCACGCCGGAGCGCTCAGCCCAGAATTAGTGGATTTATTTGGAATCTCCCTGCCTCCTCCAAGCTCCTCCACCGGCACTGGTTTGTGCATAGACGGTAGCATCAACCCAGCAGCTGCACTTTGAGCTGCGGACACCCAGAGCCCAGCGCCCTTGCCCCGCGTCTCCGCACCAGCTCCGAGAGGCATGCACCGAACCCGGAGGCGCCTACCCAGCGCGCAGGGACCGCTCGGCGCTGGCCGCCCTCAGGAGCCGACCCTGAGCCCCTCCAGCCATTTGTGAACCGGGAGGCTTGAAATTCGCCAGCGAGGAGCCACACAAGAGTAAGTGTCTCCCCCACCCCCTGTGTTCGTTTTTCTCTATGCCCCAGGACCTAGAAGGGACCGTTTCTTTTAGAAATTCCCATGCCCCTTCGGACACCTTGCGCGCACCTCCCTCCTGGATGGTGGATGCGGGTTCCTAGCACAGGCACAGGCTGAGCTGCGCGTTCTTTCGCGGTATCTATGACTAATGCGGACGCCTCAGGGTTTTGCCTGACGGTTTTTGAAAACTGCTCTGACAACAGATCCTGGGGGGAAGCCAGCTCCAGGCTGTGCCCCTCCGGTCTTCCTACCCGTCTCTCTCGCTGCGGTCGCCTGGTGATTTCTCCTCCTCCCAGCACAGGCGCCGCTGCAGCGCGCTTTCACTGCGGGGTCCGTGAGGTGAATGGGAAGCACCCGCCGCCTGCTGTGAGGAGGGTGCCAGCCCGCGAGGAAACCAGGTGAAGGGGCCGGAGGTGCCCTATCGCTGCTTTTCTGCGTCTCCTCATATCCAAGGCGAGGGAGGGCGACTCCCGCGGTAGGGGTGCGGGCCACGGCTCAGCTGCGAAAGCCTCAGCGCGAGGCTTTCCCACAAGTGGCTGCTCCAGCCTGGGAGGCGCGGTGCCCGCTGCAAACTTGCGGGGCTCCCGCGCCGCCCCGCGGCTCCGACCTCGCCGAGACGCAGCCCAGCATCCGGGCTGCACCCCCGGCGGTGTCCTCCCAGAGCCCGCGAGACTGCGCTCATAGAGGCCCCCGGAGCTGGGGACTCCTCCGTAGCGGCTCTTCTAGGGACTGCAGAGTCCCGGGCTGCGCTTTCTGTCATCTCGCTCCTCCTCGTCTGCGAACGAACCCTTTGGGGGGCGGGCCGCGCCCCTCGCAGGACCAGAGGAAAAGGGGGCTGTCGCCTGGGTTCTCCCAGTGCGTAACAGGTTCATAAGGGACCGATTCCTGTTCTCCCAGGTTCCAACCGAGGCTGGGAAACAGTGAAAACCTGCCGCCCCCAACGCCGATGCCAACAGGTATCCACAATTTCCTCCGCTTTTCCCTCCCCAACACCGAAGCCTTCCCCCGCTCAATCTGGCAGAAACCTCAAAGTTTCCTAGTCGTTGACCCTCCCCCGCAGGCACCCAGCCGGCGGTTCGCCCGGGACTAGCCGTTTGCCTCCGCGAGCGGAGATGGCAGCTGTTTGCTTGGGTTGCTAAATGTAAGAAATCAAACAACATTAATTGTTTATTGTTGCAAACGCACAACATTAGTCCGTAATGGAAAATCAGGCTGGCAGCTGCTCACTTCAGCTCCAATTAAAGGATAGCGCTTATAACTGAGCCAGCGGGAGGGAGAAAAGGTCCTTTCAACTTTACCACCCTTCCTGAAGATTCCACAGGAGTTTCCTCCTTAGCAGGCGCGATCCGACAGTCCCTTGGCGCGCCAGAGCGGCTAATCAGATCAGCGGCTTTCTTTCGGCTCGGCTTCACGGTATTTGGGGGCTGACAAAGGGAGCGAGGGGACGCTGGAGAAGGTACGCGGGAGCAGTGCCCTCTCTCGCATCCGGCACCATCGCGAAGCAGATCGCGGGGACTGGGGTTGTTTGGGGCCGTTTGCAAGCGCCTGTCCTCTTTACAACACTGCTGACAGCCATCTCAGTGGGTAAACACCCTCCCTGGGCTGTCACCTCTGGCTTCATTATAAGAGCTTTCCAACTAGCAAACTACATGTGGAAAAGAGATATCTATGTAAGATTCGAGAGTGGGAATTTCCATCCATTCAAGCCTTGCTAAGCTGTACCTCAGTGCATGCAAAGTGAGCCCTGTCGTTCATGCTAAAATACCACTGAAACTCCTTCCTCGCTATTGCTTTTCATCCGGCGCGTCCAGTTTTGCAGGGATTTCATCCGAAGTGAGTGTGTGTGTGTGTCTGTGTGTGTGTCTGTGTGTGTGTGTGTGTGTGTGTAGGGGGATTCCTCTACTGAGAGGACTGATACCTTTGAAGGATGTTCTTTAAGGGTTCCTTTTTTTTTTTTTCTCAAAGAGAGTTCTCCATAATCATCATGTCGAGACATGTTTTTCCACTTCCCTGAGCGCTGTTGCTGAAAGAAATTCTAGGGCTAGTCCCCTTATTAAATAATAATTCCGACAGTATTTTGTAATTTTGCTTTCACAGATTTGAAGCTCCCTGTCATATAGTCATTTCATGCTGGAGTAGTCCTAGTATTTTAAATCACCTTTGACTTTCTCTCTTTCTATATGTATGTGTATGTGTGTGTGTGTGTGTATATATATATACATATATATATATGTATGTATTTTTTCCCCTGGACTTTGAAGAGGGTGAGGAGTTAAGGAGAATCCCATCTGAAAACAGAGGAGCCTTCCCAGCAATGCCGGAGATGGTTTCATTCAGGGCTATTCAGTGGCAGTTCATCTTCCTCATTCTGATAGCCAACAGCACCCAAATGAGTGTCAAGATATCCCCTGACCGTCTCAAATAGGCCAAATATTTTAGAGGAACTGGCTGATGTTCTCTGAAATTTGTGCTGTCATACTGTGGTTCAAACTTTTTAATCTGTCCCCCCTGCAAATCAGATCTTATACTTCTAATTATGACTATTAAAAATCAATGTTTCTGCTTTATAATTTACAGTTTCCTAAAGCCCTCAGAACTCCAGATGGGGAAATCTCTGTTATATTTCTTGGCTGCATTTCTGGGGTCCGGAATGCATTTCTTGAGTTCTTGAAGCAGTATGAATTTTGCTGAAGAACAGACAATTTTATAGCAGTCCTCAGTAGAATAGCGGCTCCATTTGCCTGCTGTACACATATCAACTCTAAAGCGAAGGAAGTCCTTACCCTGGCAAATAACTTTATTTGGGTATTATGAATAACTGCGGTCACCACAGTATTCATTTACAGCAACCCCTCAATTAGCACTGAAGACAATTTAAGTAGCCAATGGCAGCAGGATCTATGTAAAACAAAACAAACAGCCCATAAAACATGCTCAGCAGGAGGGAATACACCACTTGAGAAGGCATTTGTAAAGACTGTTATATGAATATACTCATGCTGTAACACTTCCTTGAAACTATGCACAGATTTAAGTTCTAATATTCCTTGTTAACTGGGAGGATCAGATTGTTGGAGCAAAGCAAAGAAACTCCAAAGAATGAGGATATAATGATTCTATCCAAGAAATTGTACCTCTGGGCTCTGCCTTCCAGGTTCTTTTTATTGTTTATTGGTGGGGAAAAAGAACATGCACATATTGAAAAGTTAGAATCCACACATTAACAACCTTTCAGAAAATCTTATCAATATGAGTAAATTAATGCTTAAAAGAAAAAATAATAAACTTTTGTTATTTTTCTACTCCAGGTGGTACACCTCACAGCTTTTATCAACATTCCAATTTGAGCAGATTTTCCATGCAATAACCAAAAGCTTTCAACGCGCATAAAGTGACATTCAATTTATATTTGCAACCATACTTTGCTGGTATATCAGCAAACTTTTGTGTTTGGTAAATCAAGGAACAAGAATAATCAGAGTAGCCTTTGAATTTCAGATGTAATTTGAGGTCTCAAAGACTTCTTTTTTGAAAATATTGTGCTCAGTGGTACTGCTGGTACTAGTTTCAGTCATTTTATATTTGCTACAAAGTTATTTAGTGCAGCAGGGAAAAATACAGTTTTATTTTTGTTTTCAGCACTGTTGGCATTCACAAATGAAAAGGACTAGCATTGCTTTTAAATTTAGGAAAAGGCTCCTAACTTTGGTGTATTAATACTCCCTTTACAGGCAATAGAAAGAAAGCAAGGCTAATTCTTGTCACTCTCTGTTATGTGTTGCACACACACACACACACACACACACATACACACACACACACACAAACACACATACACAGAGCTTACTTCTTGAAAATGTGCCTGTACAGCTAACATTTATTGGTTCAAGTCAGATTTTTATCATGTTCTCTTTGGCATTACATCTGCCTTAGATTATTTGATTTGCTTTCCTGGTTACTTAGATTTGTATATCAATCATTCTTTTAAAAATATTATCAATGGTGCCAAGAATTCCCTCCCTCCAATTCAATAAGTATATATTTATGAAATAGAACAATTTTTTGATGGACAAAGGCCATCATCTGATTTAGCAGAGCTTAATTAACCAAATGGCTATTAGTCCTTTCTCATTTTATTCTCACAGAAAGTTGTGATGCTAATCTATTTCTACTGAACTGTTGGTTCCTGTCCCTGGAACCTGCTTCAGATGTAACCATGAGGAGAAAATTAGTTGAACTTGGCAACTTCAAAAGGTCAGAAAAGAAATAAGTTCAAGGGATGCCATTTAGCTTCTTCTCCCATATGTTGCTGCTAACTAAATCTCCATTACCTCTTCATGGCAAAGCACCAGGGCCAATACTATTTCCTTTTGCTGTCAAATCCTAAGCTTTTATTTCCTGAGTTTTAAATGTCATGTGCTATTCCCCGTCATAAACAGCACCCACCTTCTTGCCTTTAAATGTCTTTTTTTTCATTAGTAGGTAGAGATACATAGATGTGATTTTCTGTATCTCTTTGGAAAGTATCATAAATGAATAACATTTACATTTAAAATTTTCAAACATTTTTCTTCCCTACCCCCACTGCCACAGACAGTTGCAGATGCTTGACGGAAGTTTGGCCCAGGGCTAAGCACTGAGTTGGTGCTAAGTAAACATTTATGTAATGCATTAACAAATTAGCAAAGATTACACCCACCTCCTTTACCAGGCTATTTTCAATAAAGGGAAAGGAGAGATACAATCATATCCAAAGTCTAATATTATGACTTATCTACCACAATTTTCTCTACAGAAATTTCATAAATCCTCCTAAGTTTATTTTTAGACACAGCTTTTTTCATTTTTTAAAATCAATTTTATCCATGTTCTACAAAGCATACTTTTTCTCCTTCACATTGACTTTTTAAGTGATATGGAAATATTAAAAAATGACATAATTCAGCTTTGTAAAATGAGAA